AATTCAATATCTTGTTTTAAAATAGCGGCACCAGTGACATCCAACAAAATTACTACTAACATATGATGTACTAAACTGTATAATGAGCATAAATGTAAAATAATTTAATAAATTTTATTCAATATATAAATTTTATACCTATAACAATTCTTATACATTACATACTATGTGGATGGACCATGTGCTTCAACACAAGTGAATATGCTAATATTAAGGTATATGCTTCCTATTCCACATGCTCATGTCAAGTTCTGATGGAGGTGTTTATTATATGCTGAAACATGCAACCTACATTTGAGGTTAAAAGTTGTTGTTTGATGGGGGTGAATGCAGACTACCTGTTATCTGCCTGGATTCAGACATGCCTAATCACCTGAGAAGACTTCAGTATGTATTATTTTAATGCACTGAATAAATAGAACATTTCTTTATACTGCATTAAAATTATTACTTATTGACTTTTAAATTCATGAATTCAAATAATACCAAAGTAAATTAAACCCAACATGCAACATATCTTTAGCCTGGGGCAAGTGCAAATGAGTTCTTTCTTAAAGAATAAATGAGATATTATACCCAAAAGACTACAGCACTTTTACTTTTTAAAATTATCTGCCACTATAAAAATTAAATACAGCTCAGACCTCTCGCATCTTGCACCCTTGGGGCCACACCACAACCAGACCAGAGGATTTTCTGAGCCACAGGTGGTTAATACACATGGTACCAAACACCCAACTAAGCCTTGTAACATTATGCATTAGTGTTACACAATTTTAAGGTACTGGTACAGGGGACAATGTTTTACCTTACAAGCATCATCAACATGACAACAGCTTGCTGGTCACTTTGAAGTCATACTTATGGGACATCTGGCAAACTAAACTTGACCACTGTCTTAAGTGGTGCTGGCCCATGGAATGCTAGACTTGAGAGGCCTGACTTATATGTCTTTGCAAAATTTAACTATCAAGTCATTCAGCAGTTGCAGTGCGCTCTTCAACCATCACCAGTAAGTGTTCAGATCCCCAGTGCTGTGTACAGACAGGTACTTGCCTATCTAAATGACACCTGATTAGTCATACTTTACTATGCATGGAAATGCTCTATATGTCTGTAACAATGGGCATTCATTACAGCAATATGTTCGATATTATGGTCTGAGGTATATCTGATACATGCCGTGTTGTGGGAGTTGGCTATACTTCAAACTTCAGGTCATTACTTATCACTCTACTGAATCACTTCAAAATTGATCCAGGACTGCCACCAATCCCTCACACTACTGGCCAGACATAATTGAGTTCAGCTGATATGGGTGCCAGGTCATGAGGGTATTGCTGGGAATGAAACTGCAGATCAACCGGCAAGAACAGGATCTGTACAGCCATTCATAGGCCCTGAACCAGCTTGCAGCATCTCAGTAGGAGAGTACTGCTGGGAATGAAACCGCGGATCTACTGGCAAGAACAGGATATGAACAGCCGTTCCTAGGACCTGAACCAGCTTGTAGCATCTCAGTAGGAGAGTATTGCTGGGAATGAAACCGCAGATCAGCTGGCAAGAACAGGACCTGGACCAGCTTGCGGCATCTCAACTGGAGTTGCCAAGAAAGCGATCAGGGACTGGACTACCAGAATTCACAAAAAACACCGGGAATCCACAAGTGAACTCAAACAGGCAAAAGGATTTATATCAGGGCCCTCTGCCAAAATAACAAGGGATCTGTTAATATTAAACAGAGATAAACTCAGACGGGTGGTAGGATTACTTACTGGACACTGCTACCTAAAAGGGCACCTTTTCAAACTGGGACTGACAAGATGACCTACCTTCTGAAAGGTGCCTACAAGCAGATGAATCAGCCACACACATCTTATGTGATTGTGAGGCTATATCTTACTTAAGATTTCGCCACCTGGGTCAATTCTTCATGCAACCAAGTGACCTTTATGATGTCCCCCTAAATAAAGTCCTACGTTTCATTCAAAGTGTAGGATTAATAAATGGTTAATCCAAAGAGGAAGCACAATAGATCACTGAAGATCACAGTGTGAGGGCTGGTTTTTATGGCTCACCCCTCATACTCATACTCATATCACTCTACTGACAGATTAGTTTCTATATTCTAATTTTCAATTGCTGGAGACAGTCTGGATTGAACCCAAGACATTCTAAATTCACTAGAAATCACTAGACCACCAGGGTGATTTCAATTCATCAGCAAGGTTAAATGGCCTTGAATTAAAATAAAATTATTCCCTGGTGATTAGACAGGGCTGGCCCAGTAGTCTAGTGGTTA